TCTACTGCCACACAGGGGTGGAACCCGGTCAGTGCACGCCGCGTCCTCTAGCGAGACGCACGTCCCACTGACAATGCTCGATCGCGTATGAGCAGCGGCGGTCAAGGAGACTTCAAATGGTCAGATGTCGCCGCGGTGCGTCCCTTCTCAAACCTTGTGGCGGCCGTCGTCCTCACTCCCTTCTCGTGATGCCCTCTGAACAGGACAAGGATCGAGAAAATTACCTCGGTCACAGCGTCATGGCACCTGTGGGTCGATGGCAAGCCAACAAAGACGTGACTTGGTACAATAAGGACGCCGGCAGCGACGAGCAACGTCGTCGCGACGAGATAACCAAGATCAAGCAGGCCGAGGAAGACGCACTAGCATTGGCGCTGTACGTCTGTGGGACACGAGATTCGCTGCACGCTGCCCTCGCCTGACAACAGCTGACTTGTCTGACGTCAACCTTCTCGACTTTTCCAGTGGCTTTGCTCCGACTGTACGTCCCCCTCAGGACGCTACAGGTCCCAGTCAGGAAATCGTTGCGCAGAGCAAACGTAATAGCGACCGGACAGCAGCCAAGGCAGCGCGATGGCAAGAGAAAGAGCAAAGACGAGCCGAGCGAGCCGCGCGGCGAAGGGATCGAGACGTCATGAGCGAAAAGACACGTCGCGGTGACTTTCACGACCGCAGTGCGCACAAACAAGACGATCGCCATCCAAAGCTGCGATTGTCTTCCTCAAAAAGGCGATCTCGATCGCCTGACAGGCGCCAGTCACGCTCGCCCGAAAGACGCCCTTTGCGGCGGTCACAACCTGACCCGCTCACTTTTGATGCAAAGGGGAGCAGCTATCGTCACCAGAATCGATCAGAACGCTCACGAGACTCTCTCTGACTATAATTGTTTGAGCATCGTTCGCTTTACCGGTTATGACTACATTGTTGTACTATACAGAGACTAGGAATCCTGAGAGCAACTCTACGGCATAATGCCACCAACTTTCTCGTTGATCAATCTCTGACTCAAATCCCAAAGATCGCTTGCCAATTGCGCGTCAGTTCCGTAGGCTGTCGTTTTGCCGATGCGAGCATGCGGTACGATATATTCACCACTTGCGAAAAAAGAAAATTCAGCTATTTGGCACTGTCTGCTGCTGCAACCTTGCTCAGTCGACGCACAACTTGTTCTCCTCCTCTACTTCGGGAGAGCACGTTGCCCAAACAGAAGAAAGCGCTCCATCCTCGAGCGGGATGAACGTGGCACGGAACACCGACAGCCGGGTAGACTTGTACAAGTCGGACTTGACGAATCCCGGATGCACACTGAGTGCTCGGACGTGTTCCGATGCCCTTTTGTTGAGTTCTTTGGCTGACAGGATCGCTGCCAGCTTCGACTGTGAATAGCGGATCCTGTAAACCGCGCAGTCAGGTGAGCCACACAAACCCTATCATGTGAGAGTGTGATGGAAACTTTACCATCCTTTCGGCTCGAAACTGCGGTTGACGTCCTCCAGCGCCTTGAACGATGGCATTGCTCTGGGAAAACATGAGATCTGACCCAGCAGCGGTTCAGCTGACACCAAGTTGAGCCAGTGACCTGTTACGAGGCCCTACGTACAAATGTGTGGGCAAATGAGGATAGATTGACTACGCGCGATGGATGACCGGTCTGCTGAGCGGTCCTCTCTAGCAGTGGCATTAATATTTGGATGAGCAGCCAGTGCGACAGGTGGTTGACCTGGAACTGCTGTTCGATGCCGTCCTATGATAAGATCAAGCACGTCAAAAATGTGAAAGAAGAAGTCACGGCCGCCCTCCATTCAGTGAATTACTTCTGTAAGCTCATATGGACAGGCCATTATTCCCGCATTACAGATTATGCCGTCCAGTCGAGCTTCTTGCTCTCGAATAGATTGAGCAGCTCGTTTAACGGCCTTCAAGCTCGAGAGGTCTAGCTGATGAAATCCAAGTCGCGACTCCAGGTTGGCGTCCTCTGCAATCAATTGTCTGATGGCATCTCGGGCTTTCTCTGGGGATCTCGATGCCATGAGTACTCGGGCGCCAGCCTTGGCAATGTACCGTGTCGTGGCCAGACCCTTTGGCAGCGACGTCAGTCACGTGAGCTGTCGCAGTGCTGCCTGATTACTCACGATGCCAGCATGTCCGCCGGTCTGGGTAAGCACAGAAGGTACCAAGGGCTTCAGCGTTGGACCGTAGTCATGGTATACGGCGATCAAGAGGACTCACAATAAGAAACACCTTGCCCTGTTGCGACGGAAGCGTAGTCGGGTCAAACCTGGACGCTCCAATGCCAGTCACGGTACTGATGAAATCGAACATCGAATCTTGCTACCGAGGAAATGGTTGCGAGAGAACTCAGCGTGCGTCTGACGAACGCTTCGGTCTATTCGACTCGAGATCGCCGACAGCCGCGCAGGTTTCACGGCTAAAAGAAAATGTTACAACAATTCGGAAATAATAAAGAGCCATGATCATGAACGGTCATTGCTAACTCCCATGAGATGCTTGAGCGCACAGACTTGAAGTGCGGTGCAGCCAGCGAGCGTAGCCGATTCGAAAACGAGGGCTGTGCTCGTCGGGACCGCGCCGTTGAGCTCGTGCAATAGCACAGTGCACTGTTTCCGCAGCGGACCGTGCTCGTACGTCTTCGCAAATGCCAAAAGTCCGGTGATAAGCTCCAATCGTCTTTGCGTGATGTCGAGCTTCTGTGTATAAACGTACAGCAAAAAAGTCGATACGATTGTCGACGGCTCTGGCAGATCGAGCGACCGAGGCAAGACAGCATACTGGCGAGATTTCAGGTCCAATCCTGCTTCTGAGGGCGAATGAATATTGTCGTGGTCAACGCTTTGGGACTGGACCAGGCTGGCGCGCGACACGAAATCTTGCATACGCTTCGAGAACCATGGCCAGCGAGCAGTCAAGATCTTGCGCGAGCAAGCAAGTTGCACGCCATCGCTGCATTTGATCTCGAAGTCCGCTGCAGCCTTGTCGAGCAGGAACTTGGATCCACAGGCCACGCTCGGTATCGTTGGACGGCCCCTGAGCTGAAGATCGCGGTGAATACCATGGGCCTCGAGATCGACGAATCCAACATGAGTGAAATTCGTCTGCCATGGCCTCATGCTGTCAGTCAGACTCATCGGTGAGAAGTGCCTTTGCGCCACTGACCCGACGGAGATCATAATCCTTGGCAAGATCTCGATCTCGATAGTGCAAGAAAGTCAACATACGAATCGTCTTGCCTGAAAGACTAGCAGATACTCACTAGGATTGCCAAGAGCAACGATGGAGTTTTGCCACAGCACAGCACGGTTCCAGCTCCTGCCATGGCCGAAGACGCCTCCAGCATCGATCTTTTTCCACCGAGATTGCTCTGGTAGAGCCTGCGACGCGTTCGGATGGTCTAGCGAGAGAGACCATATGGCGAATGTGTTGGCCTCTTCAAACAAATGCGTTCCAAAAACGATCAAATGTTGGTCAACCACGCCACCGCCCGGGAACCGCAAACCAGGCGGAGACAAAACCTCCTCCGTCGAAGACGACTTCGCAAAAGTTTCCGTGAAGAATGATCCATCCTCCCTCAGAGCGACCAGGTCAAGCTCTCGCCGAACCCTGCACCCACAAACAGGATCAGCGCTTCAGCCGACACGACGAATGAGACGTCGGTAAGGCTTACTGGCTGAAATTTGAATTCGAAAACACCCAGAGTCTGTCGTAGCCGTTGTGAAAATTTGCAGCAGGCCCTTGGACGTGATAACGCTTTTGGTGGCAAGACTCTACCGCAGCTACTGCACGATAAGTTCCTATGGATTTTGACCATGATGATTTGTGAATCCAGCGCATGCTTTGCAGGTCGAGCACGTGAGCAGATTGCAAATCTGTGGGTACGGCGCAACGCACCGTCAACCAATCTGCTTGTCTGCTCAGGCATGGCTGCACTCACATGTATTGCGGACATCTTGGCCCCCAATTACCAGCATGACGTCCAGATCGACAGACTCGACTTTGGCTGACAGGATTGCTGCTAAATGTGCATACCTCGGCGTTGGGCCGTCCACCCCGGCCGCCGCACTGAGCTCAGGGCTTGACCAAGTCGACTGCGTGGTATCGAAAACCCACATATCGGCGAGGGTCTCTAGTCTGCCCTCATCTGACGCGTGCTGCCCAGCTGTCTCGGGTTCGGTGTAGCTCTCGCCTCCGAAGACGACAATATAATTACGCCATACCTCTGCAGAGTGAAAGTAGCGCGACCTTGGACCAGGTTGCTGTGATTGTCCAGCCTGCCACCGAACGGCCCATTCAAGCGTGGTCAGGTCGAGCACATACATTGTCGACGTCATAGCGCGGGTCGACACATGCCGACCTCCGAAGACATAGATATGGTTTCCAAGTCGGGTAACTGAACATCCAACCTGCGGGCCGGTAGTGCTCAGCCTGCGGCGCGCGCACGCTCAGACACACTTCCGAGGCTGACCAGCGAAGGAGGTCGAGTGCCACGCGTCTCGCGAACAGTCGAAGTGATGTCTGCAAGTGTGCTGCTGTTGGCCGGTGCAGCGCGCAAGCCCCCAACGCCGGCGTTATTTCCGCCTTGCACCGACATTCAACTCTCTTGCTCCAGCATGTGTAGCAGGTTGAAAGGGTGTACGCTCAGACTGCCGCCTTTGAGCGGGCGTCTTTAGTAGAATGAGAAGCCGCAATGTCCTGCTTTCAGGCACTCAGGTCATCGGCCAGATTAACGACGAAAAGAGGACAAGGGCTTCGAAACATCGGCTAGAAGGTGAGTTGTCACTGTGTATAACACGCTGTTGAAGCCGAGGCTTCTGAAGCTGAGGAATTTTTTTCGTCCGCAATGGGATTTTGTTCTTCCCCCGTTCTGTCCTGTGGATGACCAAGTGATCCAATGCAATGAATGGTTTATTTCGAAAAAGAAAAGGAAACATAGACAGAAAAGCAAATCTTTCAGGACGTCGTTGCGACGAAAAAAAAAAAGTTTCTGGAGACTAGGGGGTTTGAACCCCTGACCTTTTGTAGGTTTGAAGGGTCGGTGAGACCGCTGCAAAACAAACGCGCTACCACTGCGCCAAGTCCCCGATACTGAAGCCTAAGGAACACCAACATATAAACTTCATTTTTGAGTTTTTGGTCCTCGCGCCCGGCCTCTGGCACTTGAATCGATCGTCTTTCCCGACGTCCAAGAGGATCGACCTGGCCGTTTTGCACACGTGGTCTTGTTTGTTCACTACACTCTCACCGCGGCAGCCGATAGACGCTGGAAGCGGATCCGCGATCCGGAACCAATCTCGGACGACTCTTTAGCACGCCTAGCTCGACTGATTCAGCAAGACTTGGCCCGTTGTCGACTTCGCGATTGAAGCCAACTCCTTTGTTCTGTTCCTCTCTTGGGTTTTTAGTGGGTAGGCAATCAAGATTCTCTTGATTGGAGCCCCACAGTGTTGGACTGTGCCTTGCATGTTCCTTCCTGCATAACTGCATTTTTGATCCCGTTTCCGCCTCCGCTCTTGGGTTAGTTTGACATCGCGATAGTCTTGCAATTCCAGGGCACGTAGATACAAAAAGCGCCACGGTTCCGATTGAAAACGCTGCTCATGCCGCTAATCAGGATGAGACTTGATACAAAAAAAAACAATCTACCAACATGCACTCTCTGCGGTGGTGGCGAGCGCCTTTCAAATGGCCCGGGGGTTGCGGAGACGCTCCAACACCTGGTTGTCCACTGCCCTCGTACTTGATATCTCTGGCACCTTGCCTTCCCTCGCGCCCAGCCTCTGGCACTTGAATCGATTGTCTTTCCCAATGTCCAAGAAGATTGACCTGGTTGTTTTGCGCACGTGGTCTTGTTTGTTCACTACACTCTCTCCGCTGGAGAAGAGAGGACAGTTGCAGTGCTACAAGCAGTCACAGAGTCACCTGGGATGCTGCATGCTTGAAGGAGGGAAGGTGATTGCAAGAGAGAGAAGAGCAGAAGAGGCTAGACAGACTCTAAGAACCAAAGCTGTGCACAGCCCCAAAGACCCAAAGCTGTGCTGAAATACCTGAATGCTGTGCAACCTGGCTCCTGAGCTCCAACTCCAGCACAGCATTCCCAAAGACCAAAGACCAAGACAGAGACTTATCCACCAAACCTAGAAGCCAACAGTGCCAGGCACCTGCAGACACCTGATCCATACCAACCCAATTTTGCCCCAATGGAACAAGTCAGAGATCATATGACAACAACCTTGCACAGACCAGTTGGCTTGGACTTCTTTGAGAGGTCAGGCCCCATCAGATTTTGGAACTGTAACAATGTTTCCACAAAATACACCGCGCTTGCTTCAATGCCACAGACAGCAAGCCTGAAAAGCATTCTGCCTATTGCAGGTAGCAAGCTGCAAGATCTCCTACAATGCTTTGCCCAATTTAAGCAAGTACAATGGCAACAATGGTCATCTTTTGGTCAAGAATGCAAATTGCTGCATCAGAACATCTTGTGTATATACTGTGGCAGCAGTCAATATTCTACTCAAGATTGTCCCCCAAAATCTGGTGCTACAAACAAAGAGGCCAAAACCTTGCAGTCACTATCAAGCCAAGTTCCAATACCCTATCAGACACATTGATTTTGTGGAACAAGTAGTGGGCTTGTCAAGTGTGCAGGTTACAAGTCTGTTCCTTACTCTGCTTCCATGTGTCAATTTGCTGTCTGTCATTCTGTCTCTGGCCAGCTCTATCATTGTCACAGTCCAGATTCAATCTCCTTCCATGTCAGTTCCTGCTTTTGTCATCTGCAGTTCTATTCACCCCTGATCATGTCAAGTCAGGTATTGCCCAGATATTGCAATTTTAGCCCATCACTTTTTTGACGCCACTCTTAGCCAACTTTACAGTGAGATGCAATGTATATCAGCAAATGCTCAATCAATGACTTGATTTTCTCTCTTCAAGGTGTTTTGTACCCTTCTCACATCTTTTTTGTCTCCAAGCTTGCCAAATGGCATCCTGGCTGCTTTGGTTTAGACTTAATGTTTATTCACAATCTGTCAATTGATGCTAGGTAACAAAGACTTGCTTCTCAGTATTTGCCAGACTCCCTGTCTTGTCCTGAGCCCAAAGGTCCTGCCCTTCATCTATCAGCAATTGCTTTGCATCAACATCTTCATCTGCAAGCCCAGTATCTAGCACAGATTGATGTTGAGCATCAACTTGTTGTCAACTCAGACATCTTCTGTTTGGGTTTGTCAGCTCACCATATCAACAAAGTCCTTGTTTCACAAGATGAATTGCCACCTGTTGGCTTCCTATGCAATCTTCTCAACCACAAAAACTTGGCCAAGAACGACAATACTGACTATTTTTGTCCTGAAATCATCAGCCACTCAGCCACTTCTTTTACAGATATGCAGCTCCATTTAAGTCATCTCGTTTGTGTGCGTAGTCTGTAGAATCATGGCACACCTATTTACATTTCACAAGCCCTTGTGAAACTAGAGCAGCCTGACAATTCTGACCAGGATTTAGTAGAAGCAGAACCTGGTGTTCCTGAGTGTAATCATATCATCATCAGTGTATTTTCCCAAATAAGAGGCAGGTTCTTGCCGCAAAACACAGAGTATGACATCAAAATCACATTGAAAGCACATGCTAAGCCTCTGTTGGATGGTGTATACCATCTGTCTGAACCAAAATCAAAATCAAAAGTGCTCAAAGATGACATTGATGACATGCTGTCAAACGGTTGCACTGGCAAGTCAAAATTGCCTTTCACCTTGCCAGTTCTATTTGTTCCCCAAGGCAAAACTAAGTTGGGCCTGTGCATGGAAGATCAAAAGCTCAATGCAATGACAGTTCCACATGAATTCTGGTTGCCATCAAGCAGTATGTTGCTTGATTGCCCATCATGGGTAGGAATCTTCTCAAAAATTGATCTTCAGCAGCTTACCATTGCAGTCAATTGCCAAGGACTCTCAATGGCTCACTGCATTCCAAATGCCCCACAGCAAATTCAGACATTGTGCCATGCCATTCGGATTGCAATTGACAAACATGGCTGCTGTCTTCCAGCGTCATGGGCACTCAAAATAGCACGCTTTCCTTAGTGTGTTTGTTGTTGGAACTCAAAGTATGCAATGCAGCTGGTGATATGCCTGAAGCAAGTGAGCAAGCCTCTATGTTATAGAGGGGTAATTAGAGCCTTGCTTGCAGACTTTGTTGATGACAGTCTTGGCAAAGTATGTGAAGGCCAACCCAACTGGACAACTGTGTCTGCAACTCTCTTGTCTTCTGAAAATCCAGTCCCACCTTGTGTCACAAGTAAACAATCAAGATTGCTTAGACGGGCCTTACCGCCCTCTGCCCTTGCTTAGCCCATCTCAAGCTCTGACTTGACCTGTGCTGGAGATACGCAACCATTCCAGAACCAGCATGCTCCTGTCAAAGGATCTTCATCTGCCAAGCCTTTCTTAGCACCCTGCTCTCAACTTGTAATTGCGTGGCTGTTGATGTCTTGGCATGTCTCCCCCGCTTCAACAGCAACCTCTTCAAGTCTGGCGCTTGCACAGTCAACGCAAGCCTGATAGTGTCAACGGTTCGTACCTTGTTACCGGACCTTCATGTGATGAGTCATCATAGTTTCCAAGACCTATAAGAGTAGCGTGTGCGGAGCGTCGTCTCTCTTCTCCTTCTTCTTCTTCTTTTTGAGATCTGATATTCTAAGTCTTGTCTACACCATCTTCATCTACTTTGGTGGATCTTCAAGTTGCAAGAACTTACTAGGTCAGAGACGCCATTTCCCCTCAAAGGGAACAGGTCAGGAATCACGTGACTATGTCTGCACCTGTGACCAGTCTTCTCAGACTTCTCTCACGGGTCAGCCCCTATCAGGGTTTAAAACTGTGACACCTTGGTGATCAAATACACAGACATATACTTGAAAGAAAGAAAGGCAAACTACTGAAAAACTCTGAAGCCACCAAAGAGAACCGCATGCATCACTCAAAACCCTGCAACCAATTACTCCTCAATCTGATGTCTTTGTTAAAGAAGATTCTTCCACTTGTTTCTGCTCTGAGACAGAGCTTCCCTTTGCTGCCTCTTTCCAGACAAGTTCTACAATTGTCTCCCCCTAATTGTCTTGATTGATACAACTGTGGCTAAAGTAGGTATGTTGGGAGTTTTATCCCCTTTTTTGTCACTCAACTTGATGCCTGCCACAATCTGGGCCTCATTGCTTTGCCCTGGCTTGGCAACAAGCCCTGTGCCACCAAGCTTGCATTTTCTGACTACAATGTGAGCAATCACTCACAAGGATGCAGGGGAAGGAATAGCAATGTTGTGGTGAGAGAACAACCTGGCTATTCCAGCTAAGGTCAGATTTAGAGGCCCTAAGGAAAGATATATACCTAGTGTTACGCAGTATGTCTCTTCTCTCATTACTTTCCCAGGCCCTAGGTCTTTGACCTGAGCTGGACTAACCAGGTTGTTTTCTTACCACAACATTGCTGTTCTCTCCAACGTATCCTTGTTGCTCAGCGCTCACATAGAGACTTGTTCACTTGCTACAGGTGTATCATCAGCCGCATTGCTTAGTTTGCATATGTTTGATGCCAGTCACAAGCCTGTCAGGTTGCCAGTACATTGCCACCATTATGACAACTTCTCTTGCAAGATGTGGATCTTGTTACGTGGTATGGCTTTTCTCTCATTGCTCCTCATGTACTGGGTGCATCTTCCCTGAAGGCAGAGAAGAGAGTGCAGTTGCAGTGCTACAAGCTGTCATAGAGTCACTCATAGATGCTGCATGCTTGAAGGGAGGAAGGTGATTGCAAGAGAGAGAAGAGCAGAAGAGGCTAGACAGACTAAGAACCAAAGCTGTGCACAGCCCCAGAGATCCAAAGCTGTCCTGTGCTCCACACACCTGAATGCTGTGTAACCTGACTCCTGACATCCAACTCCAGCACAGCATTCCCCAAAAAACCAAGAGAGAGGCTTGTCCACCAAACCTAGCAGCCAACAGTGCCAGGAACCTACTGACGCCCAATACATACCCACCCACAGGCTTCTACTTCTGACCCACTTTGGACTAGCCGGGTTG